ATTTGAAATTTATCCTAGAAAAAATAATGTTCTAAGCTTTTAGACACGCTTTTGACCCACAGGAGAATTTACATGCGTAACAAATCCGGCCTTTGCTTAATCGAACTCATGCGGCCAGGTTTATTTCCCTGCCGTGCATAACCTCGTCACTGCTGCCGCTTCTCTTCCTCCGCCTCATCTCTTCCCAGCCGAGCGGCCTCTCCTAGCGCATGGTGGGCAATCGCGGCCATGACCATTGGAGGGGTCAGATCCACATCCCAGGCTCATCTCAAAGGGGACCTCGGATTCACTCCAAGAGACGGCACACTTTTGGGATGCAAGGACGCAGGCGCGAGCGCCGTCGAGGTACATGGTGGGATCGAGCTAGGGGTCGCGTAGTTGAGGAAGGGAAGGACTTTGTCCAGGATACTCAGGATGGATGCTACGACCACAACTTATTAGCGCCAGAGCAATATTTATTGGCGCCAGTGGGACAGTGTAGGGAATTTGGACTTCGCATTTGGGCGCACGAGCATTCGCCTTGCTCGCTTGGCGTATAAGCCGTACTTTTTCAGTCAATGAATAGTATTTTTTTCTCATAATAAATCAGTCAACAGTACTTTTAGTCATGACTTATCAGCCAAACGAACATGACAATTAGTGTAGGCCAATTTATGTTGGCGCCAAATTACAAATAGATACGCGTGGAAGGCTGCATGCTTGCATACAGCGCATGTTAATTAGGCAAGTAAACCCCAGAACATCCCTTTTTAAAGGGAATTAAGTCTAACAAACCAAAGGTACTAGGGATATTTCTCTTCTCCACTAATCTATCTGAAAAATTCTAAAACATCATTTTTTTACGGAGGGAGTATACACGAGGGCGAGAGTGTGGGTCCAAACTTACACCCGCAGGGTGTACCAAGGACGGGTGGGACAATATTCTGTGAATGATGTCGCAGGTGGGTATTTGCAACATCCGCACCACATCTTAACCTGTTTTGTTTGCGAATCACATCCTTTTCTAGGTATTGTTCATAGGAAAAAGTTCACATTACCTATATTATATAAAATTAGCCCACCATAAAAATTTTATCACAATTGAAACATAGAAATTGCAGCTATGAATTATTCCAATTAATTACATAAAAGTATAGATCTAAAGCCACAACAAAAAATTTGTACTAAAGCATACCATATTATATGTTCACTGTATAGATCTACTCAGGTGGAGTCCAACAAAATTAGATTTTTCATTTTATAATTTTTCTGTGATTTACTATGATTTTTTAAAGATTCAGCCAAAATAAATAAAAAAGAAAAAGACAAAACCGCCTCCAAAACTGCTTATAAATGGGTCAAGGGGTAAGATGAACAGTTTAAAAGTTGAGAGAGGTGTTTTACCCGGTTTTAGAGTTTTGGCAGGAAAAACGAACTTTCACTAAAGTTGAAGAGGTAGCGTGGACTTTTTACCTTTGCTGAAGAAAAGGAACAGCAGCAGCGGTTGCCGAAGTGGCATCAGCGAGTAGACCCACTATAGATGAATTTACAGCCCAACGAAAAGCAGTTTAAAGCCTTGAAGGAGAAAGCCCACAACTTCGTGAACCGCAGCCCGCAGCCCTGCAGACCAGTTTTGCAAAGCGGACTAACGAGAAATGATTCAGCCCGCGTACAGCCCACGAAAACTTCCGACCGCGAAACGCGGGAGGGCACCGACGGCGGCGGCACCGACGGGAGGGCCGACGGCGACGCGGGAGGACCGGAGGAGGCGGACTGGCGGTGGCCTCTCGGACACTTCCTACGGAACGGATCGTGCAAAGAGATGCAGGTTTCAGGTTTGCTCCTTGGCTTTCCAACCGTTTCTGCGAGCCCGAACCGTTCCATACTTTCTGACCCAAACTGCTGTTTACTTAACAGCTTTAGGATCCTAGAATTTCAGCCCAGCTTGGTCAGCTACATCCTTGGTGATTGGACCATTGGTGACTGGTGAGTCCGGCTTCATGATGAATCCTGGATGCCTCATCTTCTGGTTTGGGCCCAATCCCGCAGGCGAAAATGGGGATGATTGAGCATATATCGATTTTTAAGGAGCTAGGGTGGTCGCGATCTGAAACAAACATAGTTTTCATCGCGTATCAGGTAATCATTCGTACGACTCTGACATGATTCGCAACAGTTGTAAGATGTTTAGTAATAACGACAGAGAAGTGACTAACGGTGTGTGGTTATAAACTATTCGGCAACATTTGAGTGCACTCGGGGTTACTTGTGGGCCATTGTCCAAATCAGCTTACTTCGAGAAGATTTCTTTGTTTCCTTTTTTTTCAAAAGGATAGAATCACTTTTCGTATCATGGCCTGTGCCACGACTAAATGACCTCATATGAACACACATGTGAATTGTGCTGGTTTTCTAAAGTGATCCTTCATTACTGGGACACGGAGTTTTATTCCAGAACTATTCCAACTGTCGGTTTGCCACTTATTTTAGATAATTAACTGGCAGGGCACAATGAAGTCTATGGTGCTGTGGTTGAGTAGTTGCAGTCTGAAGTACATTGATATACATTAACGAAAGTGGTACTGCAACGAATCAAGATCCTACTTCTGCAGACCAATTTTCAGAAAGCTGTGTGAAGGCATGATCAGGGGAGGGACCTTTTGGACTATGAAGCTAGTGACTGTCCCATACTTGTGTATCACGGTGCTCACATCATCTGAAACATGTAAGAATCCCGTCACTCTCTTCCCTCTTTTACATTCCAAATATTTTAGCTGGGAAAGTATATTGTATCATTCAGATTGATGACGCTCACACAGCGTTTACCTCATTGTATTTGTTGATCAGATTTACAAAGATTTGTGGGGACAATTCTGCACTACTTTTGACCTAGAATTCAATTCAAAGATGGTTAAAATAGTCACAATTGTGTATACTCATGTAAGTTGAGAAAAAGGCTTGACTGGTGCCTAGCTGTTACTTTAGTCATAAAAAAATTGATTAATGAACATGGAATTAACGTCAATACAAACGTAATCAGCTATTTACACAAAGGCTTCAGACTAACCATAACTTTGTAAAATAAAAAGGTGAGAATAGATAACAACTACAGGTAAACTTATGACAGCAACTTTGGATTGTTCATGAGTGGTACCTCTGCGTACTGTTTTCAAAAGGTCATAAATTTTCTATCAGGTCTCACACCAACCACACAGCATGTATCACATTCCACTTGATATATATTATAGTGATCACTAGTATTTTTTATGAGAATAGTGATCAGTAGGATTTGTTCTTTCTTGTTAGACCATCCAAGCGTATATCTTGGTGTACTCAAGTGCTTAAAAATGCATAATGCTACCTGTCTTGTACTTTTTGATTGAGCTTTGGGAACTTCTAATGCTTGCGCCATGAATGGTGCAAGATTGCTAAGGTAATATAGCACCTTGCAAATATCCATGTAGAAGTTCAGTTCGGCAGTCTCTTTGGCTCAAAATCAAGAACTCGAAGAAACTATATTAGCTACAATACCAATGGAAATAATGTGTGCTTCTACTCGTGTTTACAGAATGGTGGTGTTTACTTATGGGTGTATAACATCGTAGACATCATCATAACCAATGTCCAAGAACGTCACATTGTCACCCTAATTAATTTACTATATTAGGAGAAGGATCTTAATTGTCAGTTGCATTAGACCCGATATTTTTCAATTTGTTTCACTCAAGCTTACCCCATGTTTTTGCATAAATCACTCACATGCAACAGTGTAAAACTTTATTGTAAACTTGCTCCTATTAATTCACATTACTAGTAAATCTCATTACTATCTCTACATTTTGTCTAATGTGCTGCAACCTTCCTAAAATGCATAAATCTGGAGAAATAGAGAAATCTATGTGATTTTCCATAATTTACTTCTACTAATTCCACCAATCTTGGGCCTCAAAAAGTATATGCGTCACATGCGAATTTGCAATTTTTCATGCAACTACAATGAAAGTGAGCACCTAACTATATTTAAACTGCAAACAAGGAAACTGATTTAACCAAAATTATGAGATTTGGGAATCCCAGAAGCTAAGCTTGGATCCTGCACATTTCAGCATGTACATATCTAGAAGTTTTAACCACTGACGGGACCTGAGAATCTAAGAAGTTAGACTTAGATTTAACAACTCACTCTACCCATATTTAGAAGCATTTTCATGCTGGACTAAGAAGATGTCCATTCATCTACCCATGTGCATCCTATCAAAAGGCTACCTTACAGTTCTTCACATAAGTAGGCCTCAGGTACTGATATGTCAATCTCGAGATTCAAATATGGCATAAAAATGTTATCTATTGCACCCCAAAATCTGGATATATATGCGTTATTTCTGATGATTATCTGACTCACTGCAGAGGTTGTTTTTGGCAACTGGTCACAGCAGAGGCAGCAGACAGCAGTACATTAGCACCGGTCGTCGTCAAACCATACCTGTGAAGTTCTCTTTATATCATGACTAAATATGGAGGACAATCTGTTTCTCCAGAAACATGTAGATGGGCAAAGCGAAATGCGATAATCAAACCTGTCTTGAAGGTCTTCACTGTTGCAAGCATACATAAAAGACAATAATATGCTACTTGTGTCTTTCTTTTACCCTAAGAGACCTGAACAGGTGCAACCATGCATGTCACGTTGCATACATGTTGCCATGTTGGTTGAGTTCAAAAGTCCAAAACATGGTTATTGGAGTCAAGTGTAGATTTAAAATTCTGGAAGCAAGCATGCACCACCAACTCCAGGTCAAGGTTCTCTGTGCATATATGAGCTACTGGCTATGCTTGTCTGCAGCAGTAGACAAGGAGAATAAAACTCATCATCTCCACTTCACACCAGCCAAGGCTCAGCGTTAATTGCTGGGAATCCATTGGGAGCTCTGCAATCGCAAGGTAATTTGCTGTCACCAACGCACATCCTTGTTGAGAGGCCATATCGATCAGTTTGAAGACGTTGCAAGAGGCCAGTCATCATGGCTAAGAGGGATGACTACATGGACAGCTCTTGCAGCTGCTCTAATGGAACCCCTAAAAGGTTGCTGCAGGATTGTAGCAGTTATGCCCAGGCGCATGCTAAGAAGTAAGTCTAAATCATGTTATATATACTAAACAGAGTTAAGTATGTGCACATTATATATACTAAACAGAGTTAAGTATGTGAACTGCAAATGAAATTATGATAAATATAGAAGGAAACATAGTGCTGTGCAATTTCAGTTATTTCTTTTGTTCCACATGATGTTCCTAGTTCTTATTACTTGTGCAATTCTTTTTGTTTCTTGTTATGTTTACAAGTTATTAACGGTACTTTCCTGAAAGTAGGAAAGTTCGCATTAGCACAAGAACTGAGTACACATACGCACCGTATCATGATGGCTACCAGTGGAGAAAATATGGACAAAAGATGATCCGGGGCAATACCTACCCAAGGTATGTCTAATTAATCATTCAATCTTTTATCTTGCATTTTCTAACACAACAACAACAACAAAGCCTTTAAGTCCTAAACAAGTTGGGGTAGGCTAGAGTTGAAACCCAACAGAAACAATCTTTTATCTTGCATTTTCTAACCAGTGGAGTTAATAGGTACAGACTCGTGTAATATGTTAATTATGTTGAAGTATGACAATTCATTACCTAAGAACTACTACCTAGGCTATATTTTTTTTGAACGCAAACTACCTAGGCTAATTACTACTGGTGCTCATCAGTTAAATCACACATGTTCCAACTGGGCCATGCTCTTTGGGTCTTACAGTTACAGAAGCTTCCTAATTTATAAGGGATCCAAGAAGAGCTATAAAACAGCAGAGATATAAGTGTAGATGTATCCCTTGCCTAAATTAACATAGCAAATCCAAATATCGAAGCTTACTAGCTGTAAATAGTGGATGCTTACTGTACACGTGATCAGTCTTGACGTATTAGCTATAATACACGTGATTGATCTGGCTTGGTTAGCTTATCTTCCCAAGCCTGAAAGCTGGCTTTCTGGTCACATAAACGTAGTTTAATGGCAAGTGTGTTTGGGAATACAATAAAAAAATCTGGTGCATGTACACTTATGATTTATTAGGTTGCTGTCTTCCCAGTAGCAGCCGGTTCCTCTCAGGCTGTAGCGTTTACCTTTATGTTGTCGTGTAGCTAAAAGTCACATGCCAGAATGGGAATTTTTAAGAAGCGGAATAAACCCAAGGGGGAAAAGAGGAAAGAGCTAAGCACCATATGCTGAAGGAATCATTACACACTCTGCTTTTGTGCACTTTGTTTACTAGTGCAGAACACGAATTAGTTTCCTAATTAGCATGCAGAAGCATGGATGAGGTATTTAATGCTCTCCAGACCCAATTTGCTTTTGAGTAAACCACGGTTCTGCTATTTGTTTTTTCTTTTTTTTGCAATGATTGGTGATATAGTATTTTCTAAAAAGGATGATTGGCGATACATTGTACAATACTAGTGGGTCCAACTAATGAGTTGATACAACATGAATGACCTGCTGTCTAGGACTAGGTTTTTTTTTTTGAAGAATTGGACTAGGTTTTTATACAAATGCATAATGTGAATATAATATATTTTGAGGGAGAAAGTGTTATTAAATCGTATAATCAAACCTAGTCGTATGGGTACCTATTAGACAACTAATTATGATTAGTCATCGATTAGTCGAGTAATCATGCGGTACAAATCTACTAAAATCGTCCTTGCATTTGAGCGGTAACAAGATCAGGACTAGATTAGCGAAGGAAGAGGAGGGCTTCCCAACACCATGCATTGATCTTGCCGCTGCTTGACCAGCTTCATGGCCCGCAACCGCTCCATGTCCAACAGCTGCGTGTGTGCCACCTCCCGGTCCCTCCGCAGCATCTCGAACTCGCTCTCATGGTCCGACATTTTCTTTTAAAAAATTAAACAATAACTAGTAGCATTGAAGGTACAGATCAACATATGTATGAGTAGTGGTGTACAAACTAATTTTGTTACGTAACTGCTACAAATGGAATTTTCTTTTGTCAAATTTATTGAGTTATAGTAGTCAAATCTAGATTTAACCAACAGCTACCAATTTTTCTTATTTTAAAACACATGTAGGAAAATTTTACTTCCTATGCCTTTCCTATATACTCCCTCGGTTTCAAATTATAAGTAGTTCCGATTTTTCTAGGTGCATAGCTTTATCTATGCATCTAGATTTATACTATGTCTAGATACATAGTAAAAGCTATGTATATAAATAAAAGCCAGAACAACTTGTAATTTGGAACGAAGGAGTATCATATTAGAGGTAGTGTACTACCATTATCAGTAAGTATTGGTGATGTTAGATCCTCTAGTGTATGCATGTGATATCCAGTACTTGGGGGAAACTCCCGGCATTGGGGTATGATATCCAGAGCATGCCTGCATTGGAATCCTCCATTGGAGCTAATAATGCATGTCGGCATGATTAACTATTCTGAGCCAGGCGGACAACGCCATGTGTTGTCATGTGTCAAGTTTTTGGCTTTTACGTGCATGTTGGCGACCTCTTTTGTGAGCATTTTCCCTAGGACATGGAAAAGTGAACTCTAAACAACTCTTGATGTCTACTCATGCAGGTGCTACTATAGGTGTACATACCGTCAGGATCGTGGCTGCCCAGCAACCAAGCATGTGGAGCAAACCAATTCCCAGGATCCACCATTGTTCCGGGTAATCTACACAAATGAGCACACATGTTGCAGCACCCATGTCTCGGATTACATGGCTTCATCTATACACATCCAGCAGATCGCCGATGCTTCTTTGAGAAAGGTAGAGGTGAAAATACCTAGCCTGACCCACTGTTTTGATGGCCACGGATTGATAAAAGAAGAGAATGATGCCATCATCTCCTCCTTGCTCACGGCCATCAGTGATTGTGATGTTGCAACATCAGATGGTGGGCACGCAGCCGTTCAAGAGGACACACCTGCTCGGATGTCCAGAAGCAGCAATGAGGCTAGCCCTTCGATTTCACCTGTACTGTTGCCGGCATCCGATAACCTGAAAACAGATTTCATTGAGCAACTGGAGCCTCAATGGTTCGAGCCTTTGGATTTGGGTTGGTTCATAGAATAAGCAGACTAGTTGATCTATCATCTATTACTAAACAGTAAACACATCCATAACCATCCTGCGGCGTTTAGGACATCTGGACATGCACTGTCAGAAAATGTGTACTGCTCTGTTTACTATAGCTCTCTCTATGTATATGTTTTCGTTTGAAGTTATACATATTTACTGATCTGGTATATCTTCAGTTTTATGAAGTAACATGCATGTAATGTATAAGCAGGTGTGCACATTGTATATCTTCACGGGGAAAAAATTAGGGCGTGTTGGCTTTTACTAAAGCAACGGCTGTTGCTAAAGCTGCTGCTGTAGGCGTACTCTGACGAACTACTGTGTGCAGCTGCAGTGCAGCTGATTCAAACAGGCCATTAGTTAGTATAAATGTTGCTTCTCCAATAAAAACTGTAAATACCCACTAGAAGATAGTACTCCAGGACCCTTTTGTTTTTTCTGTTGATTTCTAAAAGCTGATTTTGGATTGTTGATTTTGAATAACTGGAATTTTACAAGCTGAGGTTGTTGGTCATGTATTTTGGATGGGCTGCCGCTGGTCGGCAGTTTTTCTTGTGTAATGTTTGTAGTGACAATAGCTATTCTGAGTGTCTATATGTATTCTATGATTTTAGCTATCCGTTTCTATTATTGTCCCTAAATCTTTTTTTTTCACGAGTATTAGTATTTAATAAGGTGTGTATGTACTTGTACGTTGTCACCAGATGCATATTCTTCTCTTAGCTGGTTCAGAAACATGACACAAATCAAAAGGTATGTAAATTATATGTAAAAAAGATGCATTAAAAAAAGTTTTGATAGCCAAATTATATCTTGTGACATCAAGGATAGCAACCAAGCCTCACAGTAATCAAAACAATGAATTAGCAATATTGGCCCCGTTTGCTTCGCTGAAAAAACAAGCCGAAACACTGTTCCGGCTGATTTGTTGTGAGAGAAAAATACTGTTCCGACTGAAAAAAAATAAGCTGAAAAGTACGGATTATCGGCCTGTTCGCTTGTTGGTTTCAGCCAGCCAAAATCAGTGTTTTCCTCTCACAATAAACCAGCACTAGCCAGCCCAAACCAGCTCAGAAACCAACTAGCGAACAGGCCATATAAGAGAAGCGAACAGGGCCATTATCATAAAAGGTATCAATGTCCCTAATTGCCTTTTTTGACATAGCAAGTTGCTTGACGACGTTTGCATTGTAGCTTTTATTTCATCTTGGGGGATGACTATCTATATACAGAGCACTTCATGAGGTAAACACCTCTCTCTTTTTATTTTTTATCTTTTATAAACACCGGAGGTTCATTCGGTCAAATTGCAAAGGGATGAATGCAAATGGTCCCTCTTTAGCAATATCACCTTTTCATCCTAAAAACACCGGATCATGGAATTTTTATTTATACGCCATTCTGAGAAAGTATATTAACATCTACAATAACACAAAATGCATTATCAAGAGATATTTTATTGAGTATAAATAGCTTGGCAACATAGCTGTCGGTGTATTTTTTTTATAGAGTTAAATGTACCAGAAATCCATTAACTTGTGAGGAGGTTTCAGTTAGGTCCATCAACTTTTAAAGTGTCTTTTTGGATCCATAAACTTAGTATGGTGTTTTACTTAGGTCCATAGCTGTCCACATTGGCTTCTCGTGGTGATGTGGCCTGCTGACTTGTCCTTCTAAAGCAACTATTGACGCTTCATTTTGTCAAACATCTTGTGGGCGCGCGAGCAGCTGCCGCCGCCGCCGCTGTGGGCACGCGAACAAGCCCGTCGCGGCCACGCGGGCACGCGGGCGAGGTACGGAGTGCTCGAGGCTTGGCTGCGCCCCCAGGCGACGGCGAACAAGGCGGCGGTGTTCGTCGTGAGGCCGGGGTCGTCGGCCAAGGCCGCGGCGCCAGGGGAGGATCCGAAGAAGAAGCGGTCGCCGGGGTCGCAAGAGCCGGCGACGCCGAAGCAACTGCCGGTGGTGCTGGTGCCCTCGGCGCCGGTGCGCACCTCCAGCTGCACCAAGGAGGAGGTGGACGCGATCTCGATTCAAAGGCGGCCGGCTCGAGAGGAGCTCGTCCGGGGCGGAAGGGCGGCGTCATCCGGCAAGGCGGGAGACGGCGGGCGGACACCGTAGGGGCGCTTCGGGGTCCAAGTGCGCTTCGACTTCACCAGAGAGGCGGGGGCGAGGAGTGCGACTAGGGACGAGACAGTAGCGGCGGTCGTGTCGTCAGTCGCCGCCGCGACTAGGGCTCGTCGCGGCCGAAGCGGTCGGGCAGCCGGAGAGGAGCGGGCGGCGAGCGGGAGCCGGAGGGCCAGCCGGTCACCCGGGAGACGCGCGATGGCGCTGCGGCCTCTGTAGGGCTACTGGCGGGCTCCGGCCGCGGAGACCGCGCGTGAGGCAAAGAACCCGGAAGATGGTGTCTAGTGGCGGGGCCGACGCCGGTGCTCACCGGAGCTCGTCCAGAAGAACGAAGCATCTCCGTCAGACAGCGCAACCCCGGCTCGTACACCACCCAGCTGCTCAAGGAGATCCACAACTACCACCAGCAATCCACCTCCGCAGCTTCCTCCGCGGCCACGCCGTCCTTCTCACTGCCGGCGATTCGCCAAGGCCTGCTCCATCGTCGAGGCCGTGGTTGACGACAAAGGCTCTGTCAACGCGCCGGTCGGCAGCGACGACTTCATCGAGCCGAGCGCCACGCGCAAGCACCTGCTATCGGTGTGGGATGTCCGCGCGGAAACCGAGCCTCAGGAGTCGGCTGGGAGCAACAACGTCTCTGGCCACCTGTGGACGCCCTCCTGGGAGCCCACCTCGGTCGAGGCTAGCGCGGCGGCAGAGCCCGTGCCCGCGGCCTGCCGGTGGTGGCGCTCGCGGCCGGCAGATCCTGCGCATGCCGACAACCGGTGGTGGCCTGCGTGGCCCTTCCTGACTCCCTATTCTTCTCCCCTCGCTCACCGTTTGGGCTCGGGCTGTAGCCACGGCGCATACTACCACTGGCCGCGTGCGAGCTCGCGGGCGTGGGCCTCGCCCGATTGGCCGCCGCTGCGTAGGCCGCCACCGCCGGCGAGCACGTAGGAGGCGCGAGCGTTGACCCGTAGATCCACCCGATGCGCGAGCTCCTCTCCGGTGGCTTCCTCCGGCGGCGCTTCGTCCCCTCCTCCATGGCCGGCCGACGGCGCAACTCCAACAGCTTCCTCCGGCGCCCCTGTGCTCTGCCGCGGGCAAGGGCTCCGCCGCGCGTGGGCACCGTCGCGGGCCCGAGCTCGACCGCGCGGGCGGCCTCCAGGTCCCTCGCCGCCGCGAGCTCCTCTCTAGCGAGCGCGCAGGCCATCCTCGCCGGCGCGAGCTCCATCCCCGGCGGGCGTGTTGCACGATGAAGACAGGGAGGGGAACGACAACATCAACGGTGGGCGCCGCGGAGGACGACCTGCTCGCACGCCTGTGTGGCTGCGGCAGCAGCTCGCCCGCGCCCACAGCGGCGGCGACGGCACCTCCTCGCACGCCCGTAGTGGCGGCTTCGCCCAGCAGCGCTGCCAGGCAGGCGCGCGCGCTGCCTTTCAGCACCCACGGTGACGGCATCGGCTTCGCTTTCATGGCATACACGAGGCTGTGGCTGGCCTGTTTTCGCGCCCGTGTGGCAGGGCGGCGGCACCTGCCTGCACGCCCGCATGGCCATGGCATCATGCCATATCAGTACGAGAAGCCAATGTGGACAGCTATGAACCTAAGTGATACACCATACTAAATTTATAGACCCAAAAAACCACGTTAAAAGTTGATGGACCTAACTGAAACGTCCTCACAAGTTAATGGATCTCTGGTGCATTTAACTCTTTTTTATAAACTTGATTGAAACTAGATAATTTTGACTTAGGACAAAATTGAAGAGAACTATATATTATTTTGAGGTAACAAAATATATGAGAAATAATTTGAGGTGGATGCGTGTACTAGGCACGCTGCACGCAGAGGGTATCTCAGTCGGGGGCCTCTCGGGGCCAGGAGATGTGCAGGTGCAGCAGGTGCTGGTGCAGTGCACACTCTGGCCTGTCCCGAGGTTGCCGGGCAAAAGACAGCCAGCGCGCGGTGGGTAGCAACAAACCATGTTCCAGCCTTCGGCATTCCAGGCGGCGCCGGTGCTCCGACGATATCAGGCCGACGTGTGGGCAGGCGCCGAGACTCGTAGCTAGGAGACTCGCCGGGCCACCACAATTCACAGCCAGCATGGTGGCATCTCGGATTTTTTTACCCCAAATGGCCGCTAGGTCCGCGTCGTCTCAACCTGGGGTTGGGGCCGTGTGGACCTCGACCTGTGCGTTACCAGATCTCAATTAGATTAGGAGAAATCTGCTTTCTCTGGTAGGCAAATGCAGCCCTGTTCGTTTGCTCGTATACGATCGTGGATTAGAAGCTGAAACTATATTTTTTTCTCACACCAAACCAGCTAGCAGTAAATAATCTACGATCATTTACGACGAAACGAACTGCTTGTTTATGGTTGGTGTGGTGGCCACTGGCCATTTTCTGAAGGAGGGCTGGACCTGCTCCTAAAACCACGTGCGAATTCCTTCGGTCACATATGCATAGGGAAGCAAATGCTCTGTCACGATCAGCTGAAGAGCATTGTTTAATCGTCATCGACATCGACATCGACATCCAGCTTTGTTTAGCCTGCCACTTGCATTAGTTTACTCCTGTCTTCTCTCATGGCAACCCCGAGCCGATAACCTATGTTAGTGACGAGATTAGACTAGTGATTCGATCCATATATGAGATGCTTTGTGTCCTCGTCACCATGTCCCCAACCTTTTGGCTGCGTCTCAGGTTCTCTGCTCGGTAACAAGCTGGGGTCAGTCAGACTGTCGAACGGTCATGCTAAGGTCAAGCCATGAATGAAATTAGTTACGACTAAGTCTGTGTTATTATGCGCTCCGTAAATTAACATGAGATTCCGCAATAAAATTGGTTACAGTTAAGGGCCTTTTGTACCCTCTAGTTTCTCGACTCCG